CCTCCTCTCCTTGCACTACTCCCCTGTCCTTTCCTCTCCTCTCCTCTCCTCTCCTCTCCTCTCCTCTCCTCTCCTCTCCTCTCCTCCCCTCCCTCCCCTCTCCTCTCCTCCTCTCCTCTCCTCTCCTCTCCTCTCCTCCCTCCCTCCCTCCGCTCCCCTCTCCTCTCCTCTCCTCTCCTCTCGTCCCTCCCTCGCTCACTCCTCCATCTGCCCTCTCCTCCTCGCCTCTATCTCACTCTTGCAACTCTCGGGATCCTCATCGTGATACAGAAACATCAGCCTGGACGACAAGGGCAACTGCAGTCAGGACGAGTACTCCATGTGGTACGTCATGGGACACAAGATGCCTTGCAACTCGGCAGTCAGGTATGCAGATGTCGTTTGCGAGGAAGAGAGGAGAGGCGAGGAGCGAGGAGAGAGGAGAGAGGAGTCTGGAGGGTAGCGGGCGGGGAGAGAGAGGGCAGAACAAAGACTGACCAGCCTTCTGAGCAGCAACTCGCAGTGGTGGTGTAACGATTGCAGTGCCCCTTACCCCGCCAACCCCACGGTCGCCTCCTCCTCCTCCTCCTCCTCCTCCTCCTCCTTGCTCTGCGCTTGCCCGTTGAACCTGCTGCAGCTTCTCGCCTCCCCCATGTCTGACTGCCGCCCCAACCTCATCCCCGTCCCTCCTCCTCCCGGCCCGACCACTCAGATGAACGTCCCTGCCACGGTGAGCTCCTCCTCCTCCTCCTCCGCCTCCTCCTCCTCCTCCTTCACTTCCACTTCCACCTCGTTGTCCCCCTCCTCCTTCTCCTCCTCCTTCTCCTCCTCTCCAGCAGGGTCTCAGCTGCTTGACAAGGTGGAAGTCATCTCCTCTCCTGGCCCTTGCCTGCGCCTCGTCATCCTCAATCGATGCACTCGGCAAGAGACCATGTGAGAAACTGATCCCTTCCCTTCCTAGCCTCCCTCCTCCTTCCTCCTCTCCTTTCCCCCTCCACCTCCCTCTTCCTCTCTCCCTCTCTCCCTCTTCCTCTCCCTCTTCCTCTTCCTCTCCCTCTTCCTCTCTTCCTCTCTCTCTCCCTCTCCCTCTCCCTCTCCCACTCCCACTCTCCATGCTCTTCTCTTCACTACTCCACATCCATCACGTCTCATTTCCACTTACCCCATCCTTCCAACACGTCTTCACTTCCCGCTAGCTCGCTTCTCCTCCTCTCCGACCCCTCACAAGCTTTCTCTCGCGTCAGGTATGTGCGGATGTTGTAAGAGCCGACAAGTTCCCGGGCGCCATCGTTGAACCATTCTAACATGTCTATCCCGAGTAAACTCTCGCACGTTTCTCCTCCAGCCCCCCCCCCCTCCGCTTCTTGTTTCTTTCAGTGCTCAAGATTCAGTAGCCATTGGTAACGCCTACCTGAGTACCCCAAGTTGCACTTGAACAGTCGGACTGCTGTGACTCCCCCGCCCTGACTCCCGGAGTCCGGCGGCGGGGGCCCCCGCAGCCCCACGCCGCCTCAGCACGGACGGGCCGCGTCGCGTGCTCGGCAGCTCAGTCACTGCTGGGACTCGCCCGGCCGTGACTGCACGGCGGCGCTGGGACTCCCGGGAGCCCGGTAGTACTGAGCTGACCCCGGGCCCCGGGCCCCGGGCCCGGCCGGGCGATCATGCCGTCAGTGAGGTCACCTATTGAAACCGTTCAAGTTTACTTGTGATCGTTGCGATTGTAACGGAAGATGACGCTTCGGAGTGCTTGTATCATGTCCTGCTGCTGTTGAGGAGGAAGCTCCTCCTCCTCCTCCTCCTCCTCCTCCTTCACCTCCTCCTCCTCCTCCTTCCACTCCTCCTTCCACTCCTCCTTCCACTCCTCCTTCCACTCCTCCTTCCCTTCCTCCTTCACCTCCTCCTCCTCCTCCTCCTTCACCTCCTCCTCCTCCTCCTCCTCCTCCTCCTCCTCCCGTCTTAGTTTTCATCCTCCTTCTGATTACTCCTCCTTCACCGTCCCTCCCTTCCTCCCTCCCTCCTCGTCCTCCCTGACCACCCTCCCTCCTCGTCCTTCCTCGTCCTTCCTCTCCCTCCTCAACATCCGCATGCTCCTGCTCGTCGTCCTCGTGCTCCTCCTTAATTTTCTCAACATCTCTCCTCGCTCTTTTCTTCTTGTCATCCTCGTCTTCGACCTTGTCCCTTTTCACTCTCTGCTCCCCTCGCACTCCCCCTGACCATCGTCATCCTAACACATCTTGCAACATCATCCTTGCATTTCTTTCCCTCCCTCCTACCTCAACGGTTACTCTCATCCTTCCGCCCAGTTCCTTCGCATATCCCTCCCTCCTCCCATCATCCATGTCACTTCCTTTTTGTGCACTGGAGCTTGCAGACGAAGGATTGTTTCTCGTGCATACTCGCTTCTTGTCTCAGTCTGACACTTCTTGGTTCCCTTACAAGCCAGTCTGAAGCTCTAGAGTTCAGCTCTATGGTTGCTGCGGAGTCAGCTTCCGAGCCCTCGAGGTGTTTGGTCCTTCCAGGTCCCCGTCCCGCTGAACTTGCGCAGGTTCTACAAGCACGCGGCATGGAGGATAGCGGTACATATCTTCCCTCCGGCCTTCCCTCCTCTCCCCTCTCTCGCCTTCCCCTCCCCCTGTTCCCTCTCCTCCCGTTCCCTCCCCTCTCTCTCCCTTCCTTGCTGCCTGCTCCAGTCACTCTCAGTCGTCAGGCTGTGGCCTCTGCCTCCCTCGCCGTCGTCGCCTTCGTGGCTCTTACGTTCAGCTCCGGGCCGAGCGCAACGATGCTGGAGGCAGGGAGCGACACGGTCACTGACTCGAGCTCTAGCGGGCATCTGCTGGTAGGGTTGGTCCGGCAGGCTTCTAGCCCGGACTTGTTACACCTCCCCCATGTGACTGAGGCTGCAGCAAGCGCTTGAGAAGTCGATGGACGCCTCGATCGACAACCAAGTCAAGTCGTTTCTGTCTGGTCAGCCCCTCGCCCCTCCCTTCCTGCTCCTCTCCCCGCTTACACCGCCTCTACCCCCCCCTCCCCATCCTCTTCCCTCCTCCTCTCCCCCCGCATTCGCTCCCTGCACCCCCGCTCGGTGATCCTGTCTCGTTCCCTGTTGCAAGTGACTGACACGTCTCGGCAGAACCGAACAAGCTTTCTCCCCAAGATTGAAACCACAAACAGGTCTCTACCGGCTTTTCCCCTTGAGTCAGCAGCTCAGCCTTCTTGCAGACCCTCAAGCTTCTCAGACCCTCCGAGGATGTAGGAGGAGAAACCCGCAAGGTGACTGGAACATGCCTCCATG